GTGTCTGTTGTGTGTGTGTGTCCCAGTGGGTGAGACAGTGTTGCTCAGTGTGTGTTGTGTGTGTGTCCCAGTGAGTGAGATGCTGCTGTGTGATCTGTGCTGCGATGCGGTGGAATCTCTCCCTCTCTCTCCCCTCTGCCCCCCTCACCACTCTTGTCCAGGGAGTGGGGCTCCGACTGCTTCCTGCCGGCCTCAGCGAAGGAGCGGACCATGGGCAGCAGGTTGTTCCTCTTCTTCTCGATCTGGTGGTGGTGCCTCTTCAGCAGGGCGTCTCTCACCTTCACCCGCACGCTCTCGTCCAGCGACCCCTCCTGCTGGTCCAGGATCATGTCTGCACACGGCAAGAGAAACAACTGACAACCCTTAAAAAACATTGCTTTTAGAGATAGAAATTTCAAACCCGCACAGTTCTATGAACCAAAGCACTCAGTTCTTTGAGCCAAAGTGACTCCCTGTGACTGACAGGCAAAGGCAGATTCTACCAGACAGGGCTGCAGTGATGCATGATGGGATTTACAATTCCAGAAGGAGACCCCCGCGCTGTGCTGGAACCCTGCAGCACTGGGAGCAATGGCGCCCTCTAGGGAGTGCTTTGAGGTGAACTGTCTGCCAGCAGCCTCGCAGCGCTGGGCTCAGTTCCAGACCTGGGGTGCTATCTGCGTGTTCCCCCCACGTTCCTGTGAGTTTCTCCCAGGTGCTCCAGTTTCCTCCCACTCTTGAAAAAGATGCTGGCAGGTTAATTGGCTTCTGGGAAGACTGGCCCTGGAGAGAGTGTGGCCGTGTCTGAGTGTGTGTGCCCAGTGATGGGCACCCTGCCTTGCGCCCATTGGTTGCTGGGATAGGATCCGGTTCCCCTCTGACCCTGAATTGGATTGCTAACACATGGACAGGGATTTCCGGTTCAGAGTACGATAAGTACTTGGGAATACAGACTAGAATGGGATCTAGCATCAGGAATATAGAGCTGGAGTATCCAGGCATGCAGTAGTAGTGCACTATCAGCCAAGCTGCTGAAGCAGGTTCCCCAGGATCGGTCAAGAAACAACTGGACAATTTCCTCCGGTCAATAAACTATTAACAGTCCAATGAGCAAGACAGGCTGAGCGGCCTCTTCTCATTAGCAACCTTTCTTCCGCTGTCATGAATCTCATCCCTGTGAATGTTCCTGTAAACATGCTTTCTCCCCTGGGTCTGGATATACACCCCTGGCTCTGATGTGAGCTCGGGCAGATCAATCAGCGCGATCAGCGTCCATGCTTCTGGGGCGCCGTATTCCTGCACGTCTTCCAGTCAATCTTCCCCTCGTCCTCAGGATCCCTCACGGCTCTTTGTGTCTTTGTGTGAGCGGGGCGCCACCCCCCCCTCCCCCCAACCCCCACCGGAATTTACTCATGCTGCAGTCTTCCTGAGCGGGCGGCATGAACGGCTCTCCGGAGAACACAGATCCAGAACGTGTGTGTGTGATCATCAAGAATCAGGGCTGGCAGGTATAAATGTCTGACCTTTGTTAAATGCAGTGTATAGCAGCTGCTGTGACGATACAGAACTCGTGTAGCAGCTCTGCTCCCCTCCACGCATCAGGAAATGGGCTATTTTGTCACCTCTGGAGCGTGATGGGAGTTGTGTGACAGTGCATTCTGGGACGTGTGCCGGCGTGCGCCGTGGGACTGACCTGCGATCTCCTCGATGCTCCCAGCGTGCATGTCCAGCAGGACGCTGCCGTTGATGATGCAGCTGCGCAGCTCGAAGAGGCTGTGCAGCGAGAGCGTGGCTACGTAGGGCTTGCTCCAGCGCTCTCCACCGTCCTCCACGTCCTCCTCGAACTTCAGCCACCTGGAACCACAGCACCGCCGCTGTCACACCCTGACTACCCACCGTCACTGCTGTCACACCCTGACTACCCACTGTCACACCCTGACTACCCACCGTCACTGCTGTCACACCCTGA